GGACTGGGCAATGAAACGCGCGTCGCTGCTGGCGGCGGCCCCGGAGCAGCAGTCGGTGTAGAGCGGCGCCTTCCAGGTTGGGCTGCCCCCGCACCCTGCAGGGACGGAGGGGAGGCGGGATCCAGCTGCTGGGGCTCATCCCCCTTGCCCCACGCCCCGGGTGCTCCAGGCTCGTCAGCGCTGCCCGGCTGTGGGCGCCGAGCACCGCGTTCACTGAGCACGGTGATGTTTGGCCCTGGTGTCTCCCCAGACCCCCGTGACTCCGGCACAGGGAGGGAGGTGCCCCCGGCCACCCCTCCTCTCCCGCCCCTCAGCGCCCCTGGGGCCAGGTCTTGTGTCTGTTCGGGACTGCGATTTCCACACTGTTCCCACAGGGAAGACCAGGGCGAGTCCTGCAGTTGATCAGTGCTACGACTTCCCCCCACCCCCCGCCCTTTACATCCATCCGTTTCCACCGCAGCTGTGTGAAAACCCAGCGGCCCTGGCAGGTCTGCGGCGCCGTGGGGGCGAGAGGCAGGATACCCGCCAGGAGCAGGGGCGCTCTCCCGGGAAGTCCTGAGCCGCTTGTGCGGGGAGGGGCTGGGCAGACGCTGGCAGCTTTTTGCCTTGGTTTGTAACCCAGTTTCCATCCTTCGCTGCCTGCCTTCAGGAGCACTTGTTGCCCTAAGGACACCCAGGAGTGGAGAGAATGTGCACTGCTCAGCAGACTGCACAAGAGTCTTTGCTTTAATGGCTGTAAAGCTCTGGTCTTTTTTTATCTTTTTTTTTTTTTAAGAAAAAAATATTTTATTTTTATACACGGCAGAGGGCTACCAGGTTATCATCTTGGCACGTACTCTCTGGGCAGCCCTGTGAAGTTTCTTCCCCTCAGGGCTTCATCCACTGTCAGGATGTATCTGTTGATGAGATCCTTCATTTCCTGGGTGAATGGCTCAAAATCCTTTTGCTTAGCACCAGACCGCTTGAAATTCCCATCCCTGTTGTTCTCCACGCAGAGCAGCCGGTCCTCTGTCACCGTCACATTCAGGAACTCCACCATCTCCCGCAGCTTGGGGAGGAGGCTCTGCTTCAGGTCCTCGTAGTGCACGACCAGCAGGCGCTTCCCGTACTTCAGCCAGTCCAGCACGTGGGAGGCCCACCAGGACGCGTAGCTGTTGACGAAATCGGGCCACTCTGGAGGACCGAGAACCAGAAAATGAGACAACATTAGCCATGCTGCGTTCCAACAGTGTCCCAAACGCTGCCTTGTGCTCCAAGACGGTGCTGCTGGGCACGGTCTGGTGCTGCTGGATGGGCACGCTGGAGGAGCGCAGGGTATGGCCACAGGGCATGGCCGCAGGGTACGGCCGCAGGGTGCTGCAGCTCAGCTCTGCAGCTTCTGGCGCTTTTTTATGATGTTGGTGCAACCTCACGACACTGATCTTGGCTGGGGCTCTCAAGGTGTTCCCGATTTGCAAATCTGTTGAGTAACGCATCTTTCTGCCTCTTTACCAGCCTGCTTATGAGGAGACTGGATAAGGAAATAGGATTAACAGGGAAGATCCTTCTGTTCCTGGCACATGGGAGGGATTTAAGGTCACTTGCCAGGATCACTGGGACAAAATCTACTGAATTATTTTCCCACCTTTGCTTAAGGCATGACTATGGTAATTTAATTTTCCAAGGGTCAGGACACTCCTAGCTAAAGCTTTTGGGCTGGACAAAGAGCATTTGTGCCTGAAATGTAACAATTTGTAGTTTGCAGTACAGGAAAGCCATTCCCTCCAGACTTTTCCCCTTTTCTAAGGGCTATTTTGTCTGTTGTTTGACGAATAGCTCTTGAGCTGTGACTGGTGAAAGGTGATATGTGAACCTGGGAAAGAAATGTGCCGTGACAGAGGACACTTCCCCGCAGCCCTGTGCTGCCCGGCTTGCCAAGCCACAGCTGCAGTGCCCAAAATATGCACGAGGCGAAATGCAAGCTGGGCCTGCTGCAGAGCCTGAATGCAGCCGCGTGTTCAGTGGGGACGCTGTAGTGGCACCGTGCAGCTCGCCTGCCAAACGCCAGGAGTGTGGCAGTGTATTTTGAAGCCTTTTCATGTGTTCAAGGAACACTGGATCTCAAGTCCCCTAATGGTGCTATCCCTATTTATCTGCAGTGCAGCAGCACCTGGGCAGTGCTGCAGAATTTCCTTCAGGAAATGTCATGCTCCATTGAATCCTCCAAACCTTCAATTAGGTTTCTCATGGTTATCACATGTGGTGAGGGCAAATTCCCTTCACCTTGCGTAGCTGGGCACAGGGGCTGCGCACAGGGCGGCCGTGCCTGACAGGCCGATGGCGCAGTGCTGCTGCGTGGCTGTGGCCGCTGGTGCTGTGCTGCCCTCCTCACCGCGGTGGTGGGCGCAGGCAGGGCCGCAGCCGCTCCCCCAGCCAGGTCTGAGTGCTTTGGGGGCCCACGTCCCACTGGGTCTGTTCGCAGAGCTCACTCAGTCCCGGCGCATCCCCCCTCCCAGCGCACCCAGAAGAGGTGTCACAGCCCGTCCCACGGCAGGGGCGCCCAGCCCCGCGGTACCTTTGCTCTGCCAGGTGCGGTCCGTGGCGTACCCCAGGTGCCCGGCGTATTTCCTGTTGAACTCCGCCATCAGCGACTTGTACGGGTTCCTGATCAGCAGGATCGCCGAGTCGAACATTTCGATCTCCGTCTTGCCGCTTTCATGTGTTTTCACGCAGATGGTCCTTCTACTTCTCCAGTGGTCTTTTTCTCCTTTAAAACCTGTTTTACAAGACAGGATTGTTGGCTTTTTCACCCGATCGCGTGTCTGTGCTTTTCCACACACTGACTGATTTCCTACAGCCATGCAGAGCTGCTGTGAAAGTACCAGCCAAAGCCAGCACCCAGGGCCTGGGGCCAGGGCTGAAGTTCACTCTCTGGGTACCGCACCTTTATTGTAGAGGGCTCCATCGAAGTAGTAGCTCCCGGTGTAGTATCCCGTGGCGTGCTCTATCAAATGGCGAGCCCACGTATTCCCAGCCCCGGGAAAGCTCGACAAAGCCACGAACACTTTGGATTTGGTGGTTAAGAATTTCCTGTCCGTGCAGCGGGTGTCTGTGAGAACAGAAATGTTTCATTGTTAGCATTGTGGCTTTTTAATAATTCCACTGACAGCTCTTGATTACAGGCTTTATTGCTCCTTTCTTCTCTCCCTTACGAATACAGGATATCAGTTTGAGTCCAGTTGTGAGTCAGCTACTTTCCAAAATTAAGTCAGCCATAAGAGGCCGAAGAGATTATCCTCGGAAGAGGTTTTTGCTGGTTTTGTGTTAGGCTATGCTTTTCTGACAGAGCTGCGGCAAACCATTGTACTTGCCAGCAAGTTGTGATAAAAGTCCCTTGATGCCTGTTTGTTAACAGCCATTTGCCTGGCAGGTTGGCTCTTCAATGAAACCAGAAACGTGCCATTACACCTGGAAATCTGGAGTTCTGTAACGCAGGAGAAATCCCTCCTCCTGCAAGGAGACTGGGTTAAACCTGTTGTTCCTCTCTGAAGGGCCCAGGCAGCGATGAGCCCACATTGCATCGATCTCCCATGGGAGCAGACACCTGGTTTCCATACATTACTTGATTTGTTTAATTTCAACCTTGTGAGAAACTTCACTGAGCTCAGTGCAAACCACTGCACAGATGAAGTTGCCAGTACCACCGAAATTATTTACTGGATTGGAGCCTCACTCTCTGCTTTATTTTCTGGCTTCCAAACATGGATGCAGATGAATATTTGAGAGATGGGTAGAGCAGAATCAGAGCCTGCAGAGCTGCCTGGTGGCTGTGTAACACGGGGCTGGGTGCGTGTTTAATGAGGACAGGAACCGGAGCACGGGGTCCTGGTCCCCACTGCCCGGGCCTGTGTGGCAGGGCTGGGCCTGCCCAGGTGCTGCCTTGGGCTCGCCATCTGCAAAATAATTACAATTTTCCATGGCAAGGGGGGAGGCTGTGCTGCTTAATGAGAGAATGGAAAGACGCACATTTACAAGCACAATTGCAAGGGGGGCTTAGGTAAGGGCTGTTTCCTAAATTCCTGCCTGTATTGCCATACCAACTGCCGTGGCTGATGTGGCTGTAAGCTGGGTTACCTTGACCCCTGAGAAGGGGCACAGGGGCTGTTTGGGAGCAGGGCTCTGATGCTGCATGGCTGGAGTCCGTACCTTGCACGGGTATGTGATAGTCCAGGCAGTGTTTGCCCTGCTCCTACCTTGCACGGGTGTCTGATAGACCAGGCAGTGTTTGCTCTGCTCCTACCTTGCACGGGTGTCTGATAGACCAGGCAGTATTTGCCCCCGGTGCTGGCGTTGTGTGCCCCGTGGCAGAGCCGCCCGTCGGCGCCGTCGCGCAGCGAGAAGCGCCCCGTGGGGTACCCGCAGTGGCACTCCTGCCCGCAGATGACGGCCAAGGGAAACTCCTACAAAGAGAGAAGAGATAGGCACGTAAATGCCACGGCACCGACAGCCTGCAGCATGGAAAGAAAATAAATCTTCACGAGACCACGGTCAAGATCAAAGCAGTGTTTGATTTATCACTGTGAAGCCCATGCTTCTTGTACTACTGCTGTCTTTCACAGGGCAATTTTGTAAAAAGTGGTTTTCCAGACACAAACCTCACAAAGCTTGAAAATTCACGGTGTTCTATTTTTTTGTTATTCATAAAAAATAATTTTGTAACATTCCTGCAGCACCTAGTACATGATTCCATCTGCAAAACATCAGTGTGGGAAAAGCTGTTCTTATTTACACCCAAAATAAGCAACTTGAATTGGATCATCTTTTAAACTTGCCCCAGACTGAGGAGTCAGCTACTGAAAGGTTTGCCTTATTCTGCTGATTTTACCAGAGTTTGTGTAGAGGAAACTTGCCCTGAAACTTAAAGAATTAAAGGGAAGAAGGAAATTTTGACCTGCTGACTGTTGCAATCATGTTTGAAAACAAAAAGAAGTCAAGCCTTGATGAAAGTATGCATCTCAGTGTTTCTTCACAGTCTGCAAAAAATGGCATAATTCCCAAGGACAACATCAGGCTGTAAGAAACTTCTTCTCCGTGTATTTGATGAGAAGAATCTCGGCTTTTGGTGCACCAGTCTTGCCAAAACGGGCATCAGGCTGCAAAGCAGCACTGCTGTGCGGTGGCAGAGCAGCGAGGCGGGGCTGCTGTGCTAATGTTGATGAGAATTAGGAGAGGTCTGAGGGAAATGTGTGCTCATTATTTGCTGAAGAAATTAGCATTCGCTTCGGTGCTCAGCAGTAAAAGCACACTTGCTATTTTGCAGGAAAAGCACACTTGCTATTTTGCCGAAACCAGTGCTAAAATTCAGTCTTTCCTCTCTTTACCAGGACTGGGGGGGTTTCCTCGCTCAGTGGCCCCAGGGCACACGGGGGTGCAGGGATGGGCTCGGTGCAGCCACAGAACGGCTGAAGGAAGCCCGGGAGTTATTTGAGTGCAGAGCATTCAATCCCACCTAGTCCATATCAACACTTTTTGCCTTTTAAAAGTCTTTTGGAGCCTGAGAGTGTGTGACAGGACTGCTGAGCAGCTTATCTCC